TGCTCTAAGAGAAAGAAAAAAAGAAGGGAGAGGGAGAAGGTATACAGAAGGGAAATATGAGAAACAATTTTGTATGACAAGGACTCACACAATAACTGCTTTCTGGGAATTAGAAACAGGTAATCTGCTAGAAGAACCTATTTTTAAAATGTGTCCCTCCTTTGGGCTGACACAGCTGTATACCAGGTTTTGTCAACAGTGCTGGCTGGATTTTGGCCCCCACGTGTACCCCTTGCCAAGCATCTTTGTGCAGGATACAACCTGCATCACTGTGCATGAAGGCCCTACTTGACCTTATACAAATCTGTGACACGTTCTCTGTCCTTTCCGTCATCAGAAACATGAACACTAAGAAAGCCCATTCCACTGACACCCTAACTCCCTCCCAGACTGCACTGGCTTTGTCAGAACGTCAACTCTTACTTGAGCATAAAGTCAAGTCCAAGCTTATGCTGTGACTGGTGTGAACGTAACGATTGTCGGGACCCACTTTTAAAGTACCCAAGGCAGATGAGGTTTGGTTAACAGCTCTTCACATTCCCTCCACCCCCAGGTATGTCCCTCACTTTTCTCGGGCATTTGTTTTTCTAAATAATTCACCCACTTCTTTCTGCCTCTTCTGGAACAGGTGTCCCATCTAAGCACCCTGGATATTGTTGACTTAACTTGCCACACATTCCCACCCTCCACAGCATGGAATTCTAGCTCAGGACCTGGACAGTAAGCTCTGCCTTGGCTGTGCAATCTATATACACCATCAGAAGTATCTTTCTTAATGTGTGAAAAGTGCTGCTTGTAATGGCTGCAAACCCCCTCCTCAAGCAGCTTGCTTCACTATGACTGGTACCTCGGCAGTTCAGAAGCTTTGGCCCCAAAGATCACAGGGAGGAGAAGGGTTAGAGAGTGAAAAGAAATAAGCATACGGCATGTGGAATTCATCCAGAACTACCCAGATGTAGTTACAGACTTAGTGCTCTCCTGCTTGCTCGGGCTCTCTCACCTGCGGGATTAATTTGCCCTTCTGTTATTATTATTATTTGTTCTGGGAGGTTTTCCTTTCAATACAACATCTGGCACTACAGTTTCATACCCTACGGTTTCCTGGAAACATTCTCAGAGGAGTTTGAACCCTCGCTATTAAAACTGGCCCAGGCCTGAAATGTTGTGAGCTGTAATCTCGGCCCACGTCATGTTCTCTCCCTGGCTTCCTTTGCAAAACATCACTGCAATCAGTCCCACTGTTTTTCAATAAGAGGTGTTGGCACCAACCCCAGAGGTGGCTGCACAGGCCTTGTCCTGCCAGGGAAGGGAGATAGTGCCGACCTGACGCAAAGCCCTCCCACCGCGTCTCTGGGGGGCTCCCACCCTACAGCACTGCCTAGCTTCCGGGATGAGGTCAGAGTGCACACAGCCCGGATGCAGGCTGGGTGTGCCTGCAGCTCCCACTCTGGTCCTAGGCACATTGTTACCCGTATGGCTGGCATTATGAGCTGAAAAGGCCCCCTTGGACCTCTAATTCCCACAGGGGAGCCACAGAGCCCCTCTGAGTTTTGAAAGACCTGATCCAATGAAGAATGGCAACTAGGAGGCTCCAGAAGGGGTCCTCCTGCCTCTCCTTCCTCTCACAGACATTACTCTTCTTCCTCTCCTTTCTGTTCTTGTCTTGACTATTTTGTCACCCCCAGCTGTTTACCTGCAGAACTTTTCTTCCCCATAGTCTTTGGAGTCTGGCTCCTTGTCCTTCAGATAGCAGCTTAAACATCACCTCCTCTAAGAAACCTTCCCTGACCACCCAGGTTAAAGTGGCCACCCAGTAGCTCCACCATATCAGCTTATTTTATTTTAATTCTCTGCATGGAACTAATGACTCAGAGTCTATGGAAGGAGATCAGGGGTGTTGCCTGTCTCATTCACCTGGAATAAGTAGCTGGTACATAGTAGGTGCTAAATAAATACATGTTTGAAACATGGAGTTTGTCTACTGGCCCCAGTACTTACTGATTTCATGACCTTGGGAAGATTACTTAACCTAGTTATGTCTTGGTTTCTTATCTTAAAAACAGGGATGATTAGTGCCTCGTTTCTGAGATTGGTAAAAGGATTAGACAAGATAATCCTTGTACTGCCCTTAGCAGAGTGCCTGGCACAGAGTGGGCACTCAGGAAACACTAGCTATTATCATTATCAGTATGTTATCCCATTCGCTCTCTGGTCACCTCCCAGTATTCACTAGCTTCCCAGCTTAGCCAGGGCCTGAAAGAATGCAGAGGAGTCATGGCCACAGAGAAGGACAGATGTAGGGAGACACTACAGGAAAGTATGCCAGGAAAAGAAATGTCACAGAAGAGCTCATGGGATCAGGCCAAGAAAGTAACACCTTCTATTTCCCAAATAAGAACTATTCCTTTCAGAAGGGCTCTTTCCTTCCCCCTCGTCTTCTCCCCCTATCCCTGCCAACTCCAAAAGAACTGAGCCTGGCTTTATACTTGTTACCAAGCACCAGGGGCCAGAGGTCAAAGTGATGATCTACAGACAGGGCAGCTTCAACCCAGGCTGTTTCACTACCTTGCCTGAGGCTAAGGGACAAGTGACCATCCCCTCCGAGCTGTGCCACCTAAAAATAAGGCAATCAGAAACATCTGATAAGTCACAATAATGTTAGCTATGACACTAAGAGGAAAAAGGTGAGTCTCTGGTTGTGACCACAGTTTGGTATGGGCTCAAGCCTATGACACCATCAACATTCTTTGCACTAGAGAAACAATGCAACTGTGCACTGGGATTTGGCATTTCCTGGGTTAATCTGGTACCCAAAGGGAATGAAGACACGTATTGTCACAAGGAAAAGGGATTGTGTACTCCTGGTCTGGACCAGAGTTATCTCTATCATACCCACCACACCCCACCTCTTAGCACTGCAGGCACCTCACCTTCCCAAACCCAGCCACTTTGAACCTGCCATCAAAACCCAGCTGATGCTCTCAGGCTATGATCCACAGACAGTGCCTGGTATTTCAGTGAACAGCATGGGGTCATTCCCATGGCCTGAGACCCAGCACTTTCATTAGTGCCAAGTCATATGCTGTGCCTAGTAATAATGTAATTTCTCCAGATCATTCTGATTTCCCCAAAGTGATTCTTACTTTGTTTACATTGTGGTGTTGTGTCTCACCATAGAGAAGACAAACCCCCAGCTGGACAAACATTCATCTACCTGCCAACAGAGGTAGAGAACCGCAGAAGAGGCTGCATCTTCAGTAAGCTCTTGCAGCTCAGCCAGAATAACCAGTTATAGACCCCCACCCCCTCCACCTTCTAGATATTCCTCAAGATGTTCCTACTCAAGCAACAAAAGACACGGAGGTCTGTCAGATCTTATTTGGGTTTCCTCATAAGCCCGAGACCAGGATTTGGGGACAAGTGTTTATTTGGAGGTAGCCAGACTCATGGTGACAAAGCTAGAAATTGAGACAGTGAAAAGAGGCAAGCCAGTGAAGGGGCATCAATGACAGACTTCTGGCTACAGATAGATGGGGCTCTGTCCCATTGAGATGTCTTAGGAACCATGAGGAACCCACCTCAGAACTGATCGTTGTGGGGGAAGGAAGCTAGAGGATTTACCCACCAACTTCTGTCCCTTATTGGCTGAGAGTTGCTCCTGGGGTGTTAACTCCCCAGCTCTCTGCCCAGGAAGCACTGCCAGAGAATGTTCTCAGGCAGAGAGCTTTTTCTGAGCTCTCTGAGCTCACTGGGCTCATACAGGATCTGTCTGCAGGTGATGTTCAGGGTAGGCTAAAGGGATTTGAGCCAGGCCGGACAAATCCTGCTACATCAGGCTTTCTAATAAGATTCTTAAAAACAGTGCCCCATGGGGGCACCTCAGTGCGTCAGTTGGTTAAGTGTCCAACTTCAGCTCAGGTCATGATCTCACAGTTTGTGGGTTCAAGCCCTGTGTCAGTCTCTGTGCTGATAGCTCAGAACCTGGAACCTGCTTTGGATTCTGTGTCTCCCCTTCTCTCTGCCCCTCTCCTGCTCATGCTCTGTGTCTCTCTGTTTCTAAATAATAAACAAAAACAAAAATAAAAACAGCGCCCCATGGATAGAGGCATTTTAGAACATCTATTTCAGATTTGTCTTAACTTCCTAGAAATCCCTTCAACAATGCTTAAATAGACACAGTTATATAAATCAGCCTATGATTTCTTTGCAAGAAAGATTCATGGGCAAACAAAGCCTCCCCCACTAGTGGCCTGAGTTCTGTCTCCCTGGAATTGCAATAAGAGCCCGCAGAGTTCTGAGTAGACACTTTGCTTTGGACATTTTGGGAGGAGGTCAGATCTCACCAGTTTTCCATGGAAACCAAGCAGGAAAAGAGACAGAGTAGCCTGTTTTGAAACAGTTTGAAGTTCAGATTAAAATCATAGCAGGGATGCACACACCCCTTCCCTAAGTACAGGGTAAAGTGAGCTCAGGAACTGGTGAAATAAACTGGATCCTAATGAAAAAATAATAATAATAATCTCTTCCCAAGTACCTCTCCACCCACCCCTCTGAACATGCCTACTCTCATAAGCTCTGGGCAGGAACAGCTTACTTTGAACAACAGAGCCATATCAGGGATCATTTTCCTGGAATTCAGCCATGGAAAAATTCACCGAACTACCATTTGATACTTTTCAAGTCCATGGAGCTCCCAGCCCCCTCGGGCACTCTGTAACCACTATAGGGTCTTTGGATAATATCCTGCTTTAACTAAATACCACACTGATAACTGCCAACAGAGAAGAATTTTCCACAGGCATTGCTGCCTCTGTTATATTCTCAAAAGGGGCAGGTGATTCCACATGGAAGTTTCCAAGAAAGAAGGAAACGTCTCCTTACTCCTGGGCTGCAGTCCAAGTTGAAGGCCAACCCTTTATCAAAGAGATGTTAAGGTCAAGAATTTTTCGACAACTCTAAGTTGCTTAGAATGAAAATACTTATAATTAGCTTACCCATTTAACGGTGAGAGGGTCATAGGATGGATGATTAGGAAGTCAAGAGCCCTATGTTCTGGTTGACACTCTTCTGACTAGTTTTGTGGCCCCAGATGAATCATTTGACTTATCTAGACCTGTAAAATAAGGGGACAATCAGGGTTACAAAGAGTCAGCTCCTAGAACAGTGCACCTACACTTACAATAGAGACTACAAACATACACAATGCCCTCACCCCCTAGAACAGTGCCAGGCATGTAACAGGCATTCCTTCGTCAGTGGCTCAGTGAATGGATGTGGCAAACATGTCATTGCTTCTGATTTCTGTATCACTGGCAGGCCCTGCTAATCAACTATGAAAACTTTTCATACTGAAACTGGATACAGAATCAAATTCTCAGCATAACTCTCCAGACAGGTACAACCAATCCATTGGTGCCCACATGTGAAATGATACCTCACTGCCATACGTAGATAAACTAAGACTCTCCCAATATTCAACTTCTATGATAAGAGAAATACTAAAAGGTAGACTGTCACTCAGGAAAGATAAATATAATCATGACTGAATCTTTCCATCTACTCTACATAAGGATCTGGATTTTTATCATTCTGACTAGGGCAAGAAATACTTTTGATTACTGAAGACTCCATAACACCAGTCCACTTAGAGTCCTTCCAGGTAAATCTATATTTCTAGACCCCTATGGAAGTCATTACATTTCTAATCCCAACCATGTAGAAGAGGTTCATCCAGCTCTGAGGCACATCCCCACCCCAGCAAGTAGACACCTTTCATCAGTGCTAACTCAAGGCGTGTCCAGCGTCTGGAATCTGGTTCATCATCTGGGGGGTCATGCTTTCCCCACACAGGTGAAATATTATATTACAAAGGTTTCCCAAGGGAAACAGATCCAAATGGGACATTAAATATCATGAGAGATTATTTTTTTCTTTTCTTTTATATCTTTAATAGTTTAAGAAAGATTTATTATATAGAACTGACTCACATGATTATAGAGGCTGAGATGTCCCATGATTTGCTATCTGCAAGCAGGAAACCCAGCAGAGCCAGTCACACAGTTCAATGGCCTGAGAACTCTCCAGTAGTAGTAGTAGTTGTTGTTGTTGTTGTCGTCGTATAATAGTAGTAGATGGTGTAGATTCCAGTCAGACCCTGAAGGCCTGAGAACCGGGAGCCCCACAGCAGGAAAAGACTGCCAGCTCAGACAGACAGTGCCGGTTCAAACTTCCTCCACCTTTTTGTTCTATGTAAGCCCTCAACGGGCTGGATGAGGCCCACCTGATATACTGGGGGAAGGCAACCAACTTTACTCAGTCTATTGATTCAAATGCTAACCTCTGCCAGAAACACTCTCACAGACATATCCAGAGAACTGTTTAATCAGATATCTGAGCATCCTGTGACCTGGTCAGGTTGACATATAAAATTAACCATCACAAAATATCAAGGACAACAATGAAAAGAAAGAAAGAAAAAAAATAAAAAGCCACAGGAAGACAAAAGAGAGTGAAACAGAAAGAGTGGGTTTCCAGGACGGAAACCTTCAACGTTTTTACCTCCACTGCCTGAGCTCCCTGTAAATACACATCATGGCACTAATCTATGATCTCCCTTTGGGAAGCCTAAAAGACTGTCTCAATGCACAAAGATTAAAGCTTACCAAATGGCTTTCAGAATATCATCAAAGGAACCTGTAGGGTGCGAAGTTACTTATCTTCACATTTGAATACAGAGCTACTGACCTTCTTGGGCAGCTCAAGAGTCCTGTCCACCCCAACTGTCTCATGCTAAATTAACTCTCTGCTTTTCTGTAAAATGTAAACACGTGAAGTGGATCACGTTCCACTATATATGCAAAGCACTGGGGCACAGATGTTCTCTCTGGCCAAAAAAAAAGCCAGTTTTCAATGTTTCAATGTGTTCATCTACTGTTCATTGTCTCTTAAAGTATGAACCTAGAGAAATAAATTTTCTAGAAATATCTGGGTATGAAAAGAAATGGTTAAGGTTTGAATTCTTAGTAAGTAGCTTTAGTTGTTGGAATGGTTACTTTATTGGCCCCAATAATTACCATGAGACTTTAACTGTTACTCATGTTGGCTTCAATTAAAATCCCCAGGGCAGTAAATTAGTAAATTGGTGGATTTAACAAGAGCTAGCCTAGGGATCAAAGAAGAAGAAGTTGCTAAAGCAGAAAGGGCAGGAGGCCTTCATTTAATGGCTCCCCCAGGGCTGAAAGGTCACGCCTTCAAGAACTGTAGCACTTGGGGGAACACAGACCAAATACATTGCTTGGTGCCCTATCAGCCTAACATCGTACCATGCTTGCTTAAATAATACAAGTTTCCTATGGAAAGGAAACACAGGAGACAAAATGCTAACATGCCTAATCTGCAAGTAAAGATACTCTTAACAAAAGGACATTCTTGGTCAGCACAACTTTGACCACAGAATTGTTCCTGCCTCTGGCAAACAGAACATGCTGCCCACCAAAGATTTTGCTCCCCTCCACAATACACAGTGGTTCTTGAGCAGTAGAAGCCCAGCCAGGACCTACTCAGTGATCTAAAAATCAAAGAACTTATCATAAAGGCAGAGAGTCTTGAATAAATGCTCACCTAGTTCCAGATACTGTTTCTAATGTAAAGGGGGCTCATCAAAGAATGAGAGCGGAATGGATGTGGTTGAAAAGCAAATATGCTTTGTCTATTTATTTGTCCTTCTCCCGTTTCCTGGCTGGGTTCTGATAGCAGGGAAACTCTAGGAGCCATGCACTGACAAGAGAGCAGAGCCTCTCCCAGGCTGAACTCATGAATGCCTGTGAGAGGTAGAGCCAACCTACTTTCAGCCAACCAGAAGAAAGTCCTAAGAAATAGCATGCTTGTATTAAATCACCGGAGTTTGCTACAGCAGTTAGGTTGCTCTAACTGACCCACTGTCCCTCATTAGAAGAGTACGAACCCAGCCATTACTCTCACACCAAAAAACAGCATACTCCCCGCACCAACACGGAGCATCCCATAAACTCTAAACAGCCCCAGAATTCAAGATTATTTCCGTAATCACCTTCATCAATATTGCTTTGCTTCCAGGAATATATTAATCAGGAACCTGCTACCCAATAGGGGATGGGTCACCCCCTGGAGGAGTGGGGGTTTCATTAGTTGGGTTTGCATAGCTTCTGTTTGTAAGGCTGCCAACTTGCCAGATACCTTTGCCTTTCTCCTTAACATGCACCCTATAATCCTGAGACGTCAGTTGTGTGACTCTGACCTTGTCAAATACGCATGCACTCAATTCCGTCAGGCTACCAGTGCTAGTGTATGAGGCTTTCTGAGCGGCCCGGATGTGCTGACTCCAAAACAACTTCACACATGGTCAAAAAAGTACACCTTCCAGACAGACTTCATCTGGACTCCTTACCACCCCAACCCCAACTCTGCAGTAAGTTCCTGTGCAGATTCCTAACTGTCCCTTCAAGCTCACGGTGTTGTCCCTTACAAGCTGAGTCCTCAGGAGGCAGGAGGCACCACAGACGTGTCATGCTGTGAATATTCATGGGAGGAAACCCCTTCCCTCCTGGGAGGTCATGTGGAGAAGCTGCCTGGAGCCGCGATGGTGGAACTGCCCTGTAAAGGCAGTGATACCCTGGAGCCCATCCCCCCAACCTCAGCACACTGATGAGGTGCCTCTCCTCCCAATTCCACATTCACTGATAGCACATTGGTAGCTTGAAGTCATTCCTGAAGAAAGTATTTACACCACGGAAATGGGCACACACTACAATTCGGTACTTTTGTATGTCCCAGAGAACCGATGGCTAACATTTACCAGCCCCCCTGCGTGAAGGGGAGATGCTGGCAAACCACCAGGCAAATAGGAATCCGTGTGGAATGAGCTCTGTCTCCCTGCCTCTTTCCTTCTCAGAAAGGACAGGGACAGCACCTATCTCCAGAGCAGTGAAGAGGCCCTGTTGGGAATGCTCACTGACACTGACAGAACTTTTGCTCTGAATTTGATGAGAAAAGAGACTGAGGGACAGTGATTTTCCAGGGCACATAATGTGCATAACAATGCTGAACCCACCACAGACAAATGGGTTTCAAAAGGCAGATTCATCATTTTGGATGCGACAAAATGGATCCTATCTCAGTAATCAGATTCTAATTACTTGCTCTGCCACTCACCTGGGCACTTTGAAGGACTTCTGAGGGAGGAGAAAGGAAAAAGAACCAAGCTCATTGTCAGGCTGTCAAGGCCAGTGCTGGACATTTTTCATGGGTTAATGCAGTTGACCTTCACACAGTCCTATGTCTGTGTGTTAGTATACCCACTTTTCAAAGAAGGGAAATGAGGCTACAGAGGTCAGAACAGTAACTCACCTAAGGTTATACAGTGGTAAGTAGTCAGACACTGATCTGGGTGTGTCTGACTCCCATATCCACACCATTTGTATCACACTGCACTGTTCATTAGTCTTGTTTTATTTATCTGTGGAAATGCAATAAAAGAACAGCCACCCCTGCCTCATGGGAAATTAATTTTTTAAACAGCAGCTTTGCTGAGATAAAACTCCCATGCCACTTTTAAAGTGTACAATTTGGTGGGTTTCAGTATATTCACAAAGTTGTATAACTATAACCACTATCTAATTCCAGAACATTTTTATCACCGTAAAAGAGAAACCCCACACCCATTAACACTCACTCCCTGTTGTCTCCTCCCTGCAGCCCCTGGCAGCCGCTAAGCTACTTTCTGTCTCTGTGGACTTCCCTACCCTGGACATTTCACATAAATGGAATCATGCACTGTGTGGCCTTTTGTGTCTGGCTTCTTTCAGTTGGCATGATATTGGTAGATCTGCATTAAAGTTCACGGAGTTCGACAGATAAAATCCACTAAGTTGAAAGGCAAACACATGCAGTTTTTATTTAAATACCACTACGCAATAGAAGCAAGGCAGAGAACATGAAGTACTAGCATCGCTGTGTTTTTGTATTCAATTCTACTACATTTACTGAGTGCTTGTACATGCCAGACACAAAACAAACAAGATCCCTGCCCTCACAGAGCTTACATTATGGTGGAAAGAAACATACCAAATAATAATGATGGTGATGATGATGATGATGATGATGATGATGATATCATACTAGAATATCTTAATTAACATGTGTGAAAAAGAGCAGATTTGGGGGATCATGTATGCTAGAGGAGGCCTCCGAGTAGTCTCCAGAATACATTTCTACAATCGTACATCTCTCTCTCTCTCTTTCTCTCTCTCTCTCTCTCTCTCTCACTAAATGCCTATTCATGCCCCAGGTGCTGTCCTAATGGGCTTCTGGGTGGCTGACAGCAGTGGTAACACTGGATCCCCATGAGATTGCCTACCTCAGATTATTGGGCATCTTTGGGTATCAGACCAGCAGAGGACTCTCACTCATTCTGTGATAGGTTCACCTCCCCCAGGCCTCCCTTCCTCTCTGAATTCCTGAGCTCAGAAGAGGGAAGACGTTCCCTTCTTCTCTTCACACCAGAGCAGCAGTGAGAACACTTAGCCCCCAGCCTAAGGGGAAAGTGCCCTGCTCCATCCTCCACACGCCCCTTCACCCTGCCCCTACATTTCATGCATTTGCCAAAGACCTGCAGGGTTTCTTGCCAGACATTTAAGGCATAATACTGGCCTTGGTCTGAAGCTTCCTGGAGCCTGGTGAGGCTTCCCCCTAGCCTCCACATCCTGCCACTTCACAAACAAATTATTGTCCACTTGAGTTCTCCTGCCACTGCTGTTTCTAAAACACTAAACTTTTTTTCAATACTACATTTATTCTTATAAATATAACTAGAAACATTTTCCTCCCAGGTAACTTCACCATCTCAAACATCAACAAGATTTATTAGGCCATAAGAATCCATACTATGAGTATGGATGGGCCTATAGAAATCCCAGTTTTCTTCCACCAAGAAATACACTTCTTCCACCAGTAGTACATACTGCTGCATATATAATTCATCACATTTTTCAAATAGTGTTTTCTTATTATAAAAATACTAATGCCCTTAGAGAGAAAATAGAAAATAGCAAAAGGGAAAGCAAAGTCACCCCTTGCAAGGGAGGAGTCTCTAAGATGGTCCCCAATGATCTTTCCCCCTGATAGTCATGTCTGTGTGAAATCCCCTCCTTTTGCCTGTGGGCTAGACTTAGGGACTCACACCCATTGAACAAAATACAGAAAAGTCATGGATATCACTTCTGAGATTAGGTGTGCAAAAAAGAGTTATCATAGCAGGGTTGAGACTTAGGAAGGCCTGCTTATAAAGGTTGTCCCTTGGCTGGCATCTGGGAACTTGGATTTCAGGAGTTTTCCAATCATTCCCTGATAAGAAGGGCTCACTGTGCCTAAACTGTTTGTGCAAACAACATGGCTTATGCTAAGCACCAGCCTCCCCTCTAGGAGTCTGGAATTTTGATTCGAGGGTGCCTATGCCACCAGCCCCTGCTAAAATCTCTGAGTCATTAATGAGGGTCCCTGGTCGACAATACTTCATACATGTTATCACAACTCACTGCTGGGGGAATTTAGTTTTCCCTGATGACTCTGCTAGGAGAGGACTCTTGGAAGCTTGTACCTGGTTTCCTCCAGACTCCACCTCATACACCTTTTCCCTTTGCTGGTTTTGCTTTGCATCCTTTCACTATAATAAATCATAGTCTATATGCTATGACTATAAAGAATACAACTATGTGCTGAGTTCTGTGAGCCCTCCTAGTGAATCATCAAACCTAGGGATGGGATGGGGTCTTAGGGACCCTTGACATATTAAGCTACCAAAAGACTATGACTTCTTCTCTCTCTCTCTCTCTCTCTCGTTCTCTTGCACATCCTTCTCCAGTTGAGCCTTGAGATAATTAAGGCCCTGCCATCACCTAGACTGTAGCCTTGTGAGAGACCCTGAACCAGAAGACACCCAACAAAATCACATCTAGATTCCTAATCCACAGAAATGGTGAGATAATAAGTGTTTGCTGTTTAAAGCTAAGTTTTATAGTACTTTGTAACACAGCAATAGATAATTAATATACCCTTACCTAAAGATCATTACTGTTTATATTTTAGGTTAATCATTTCAAGGGCTTTCTATACATATACATATATATATATATATATATATATATATATATATATTCTAAATTATATATGTATTCTCGTAGAAACTGAATTTCTTTTTTTAAGCACTGCTGGTAAAAAGCAAAGGCATAAGGCAGAAGTACAATATTTCCTTTTATTACTATAAGAAATGTTTCCATTCCAGAGTGACAGCTGGTATTTTTTGAGCCAAACTGTCCCCTTTTTGGTGGGGGGTGGGGGGAAGAAGGGAGAATAGAGGGAAGGGTCCCTTTCATAGCATTTTCAGTCATGCAATTATAAGAGCCCATCTGACATGGGAGGCTTCAGACACTAAGTTAAATCACTAAGCATAATAATTTAAATGTTATTATGCTCCATGTGAGTGGAATTAATTGTACAAATTATGTTTCCTTTTAGGAAAATAGTTTTCCCCTCTCCAGAGTCTCAGAGGTATTGGTGGCAAAAGTTCCTGGGAGGGGACATAAGTTTAAGAACACAAACTGAAGAACACTCTGGAGAGAGGAATGAAAGTTAATCCTTGCAAAATGGTGACTAGCAGGACAAGGAGAGACAAAACCAATATAGGACACAAGACAACCTGGGTGAGACTGACCCAAGAGTAAGTTTTCTGGAAGCAAACATACTTTTAAGCACTCAGGAAAATTGTACTGAGCATCATAGCTTAGTCTTACCTGTGTTTGGGGAATTACAGGGAACTCATTGTTGTCCACGATTCTGCAAAGCTTCATAAGGAGAGAGATATTAACCTGGAGAAGCTGGCTTCAAGAGAGCAACAGGTAACCTGCAAAGGAGTGAAATGCCAGACAAAGTGATGAGAGAACAAACAGGGGAATCTTCTAGAAGAAAGAACAACCTCTTGCAGTCAAGCTGGATGGGGGCTTCAGACACAGGATATAAATATTAAAAGCAAGTATAGCCTCTGGGTACCTGCATGGCTCAGTCAGCTATGCACCTGACTTCAGCTCAGGTCATGATCTCAGAGTTCATGAGTTTGAGTCCCATATTGGGTGAGCACAAGCCCCACTTCCGGGTGAGCCCCCTTCTCTCTATCTCCCTCTCCTCTCTCTCTCTTTGTCCCTCATGGCATTCTTTCTCTCTCTCTCCTTCTCTCTCTCTGTCCTCGCTCATTTGCTCCCCCCCTCTCTCTCAATTAAAAAAAAAAGCAAGTGTAGCTTCTTGATGCAAGAAGAAGCTCAGAAATCAAAGTTACACACATTTTTTATAAAAAATTGTAATCAAACTGAACGTATTGTTTACAGCCTGCTTAATTCACTTAGCAATATGTCGTATCTTAAAAATTCATCTACAATTCAACTTGTACTGGCCTCTATTTCATCATATGGGAAAACCATAATTTGTTTTACCCATTTCCTATTATTGGACACGCAGGTCATTTCCAAATTTTTATCACTAGTATAAACAATGCTGCAATGAACATACTTGTATTAAATCTTTGTCCAAAACTGAAATAATATCTTTAGAATACATTGCTAAGAATGGAATTGTTAGATCAAAGGATATGCACATTTTATGAGCTTCTGATCCATTTTGCCAAACTGCTTTCCAGAAACATTATACAAATCCAAATTCCTGCCAACAGGAGATGAGGGCATAATTTGTTCCACCACTTAGCCAAAACTGAGTATTATTTTATTATTTTTATATGATACTTATGTATGTTCTTATACTTGCTTAAACATACTATAAGAGATGGTTGAAAATTACCTTTTTGTCTGGTTTTTATGTGCACTGCAAGTATAAACAATAAATGTCATTCTAGACAGCCTTCAGAACTACTGAAGTAGACAGAAAAGAAAGCCATATGACAAGCGGTCACACACTGCTCACCGCAGTAGCCATTTCTTAGATGAGTCTAAACATAAGTTCTATTGACTACAAAAGTTCATTCCTTTTGCACTTAACATTTGCAACTTATTCATACCCAGTTAAAGAAAAGCTTTTCTTTTGCCAAAAAAAAAAAAAATAATAAGAAAGCTAAAAATGGATGAAATATATATGAGACTTAGAGAACTGGGAAAAAAAGGAAAGAAAACTATTTTCTAGTTAAGGGAAGTGACTATTGCTATTGGCAAGTAGGGAAACACTGCTCTTAAACCAGGTTTTTGTAACAAAGGACCAGAATGGAAAATATTCCATTTCTATTCCGCTGTCCCATCTGAGACCCTGTGCCCTGCCCTTCTGCCATGTTCAGGCACTGTGAAAACTTACCTACTAACGGTTCTGGGGAGAAAGAGGGAGGTCTCAGATTAGAAACAGCATTCTAACTGCTGGATTTTATCATTTCCTCCCTTACTAATGATTTCCAATTTTTGTACAGGAAATGTAGACCATGCTCAAATATAAAATGTCATTAATTTGAGAATTTTGAAATAACAAGTCAATACTGGAAAAAATGTATCGAACAAATATTAAGTGCCTTACTGGAATAGAGGAGGGGAGATGTGGGTGACCAAGAATGAGGGACAGTCACTGGCTCCATCCTCAGGGATCTTCCCAGCTAGTACAGGGTGGAGACATACACACACACACACACACAAACATACACAGAGCCAACAACAACACCTGTCCGAGTGGAGAAGCTGAACAGTGATGTGAAAAACCACATGAGTGAGAGTACAGGAGGAGTCACACATGACTGAGTGACTGAAGATACAGACAGACTCAGGGAGGAGATGAGATTGACCTCACCTTGGAGAGAAGGGAAGAGCTGCAGGAGAGTGAACCATGAGAAGGGGCTCTGTCAACAGAGAAGACAGCCAAAGCCAAGGAACCAAGTGTGTAAATGGATGCCTGGGGCATAGGCTGCACTGGCACAGAGGGAAACAGTGAAGACAAGGTTGAAAAAAAGGTCGAAGGCTACATACTATGCCACTCTGACTCCATGACATTCTGGAAAAAGTGAAACTGTGGCGACAGTAAAAGGAGCAGTGGTTGTCAGGGGTTGAAAGGAGTGAGGAATGATTAAGTGAAGCACAGAGGATTTTAGGGCAGTGACATTACTCTGTACCATTTGGAAATCGTAGAGACGTGCCACTACGCATTAGTGCAAACCCACAGAGCACGTACGACAGCGCGCTAAGGTAAACTGTGGGCTCTGGTTGATAATAAGGTGGGTCAGTGCAGGTTCAGCAGTTGCAATAAATGTACCATTGTGGTGTGGGATGTTGATGAGGGGGGAATATATGCATGTGTATGGGCAGAGTCTGAAGGAAATCTGTTACCTTTCTCTCAGTTCTGCTATGAATCTAAAACTGCTCCAAAAAAAAAAAAATCGTGCAAAAAAAAAAAAATAATATAGCAGCTGTAACTGAAGGTCTTGCTAAGGAAAATGAACCCAACTCTGCTGACTGTTGTTGCCCAAACCCTTGATCACATACTCCATTCATTAAAAAAATCTCTGAGCACACACTCTAACACAGGTATATGCATTTAACTACTTGTAAATTATATACCTGATCTGCTATATTAATGCATTATACCATATATATAATATATATTATATATAACTGCACATATATATGCATTGATACTCATATAAAATGAAATGTACAGGAAAATATTAACTAAAAAGGATGAGATTATAATATCCAAATGTCTTACAATGTGTGATAGCTTCATACTGGTAGAAACACAACCTCAAAGCACAATGTGCATTTACTTCAAAATTGCATGTAAAATTTAAATTTCAAGTTTTTCTTGATAACATTGGATTTATTTGGCCACTTCTTGCCAGAGCTCCTTAGAGGACTGGTAAGGTGATGACCTCATTTTTTGACATGTTAAGTCAAAGACCCCAGTGGTACATCCACAAAGAAATGTCTAAAAGAGAAGTGACAATATGGAACTACAGCAGTGTACCAGACTGAACAGTGTCCTCCCCCAGTGCATGTTCACCTGGTACCCTGGTATGTGACCTTATTTGGAAATACAGTCTTTACAGATATATTTATCAAGTTAAGGTCAAGTCATACCGGGTTAAGGTGGGCTCTATTCCAATGTCTGGTGACCTTACAAAAAGAGAGAAATTTGGACACAGACACACGAAGAGGAGACCGTGTGAAGGCAGAGGAGTCCTGCAGGTACAAACCAAGAAACACCAAGGACTGCCAGCAAGCACCAAAAACCAGAAGAGGCAAGGAAGGATTTCTCCCCTAGAGCCATCAAAGAAAATATAAGCCTGCTGACACTTGATTTCAGACTTCTGGCCCCCAGAACTAATAACAAGTAAGTTTTTGTGGCTTTAAACTATCTGGTTTGTGGTACTCTATTACAAGAGTCCTACAAAATGAATATAAGCAGATTCCTCATTAGGGATCATTATAAGAGCTGTAATTGGAGGAGGTATGCAGTCATCCTTCTAGAAGCCTCAGAGATGGTAGGAAAAAACTAAACCAGAATGAGGGCAAAGAGAAGGGGAGAAGCAAACTGAGAAGCCAGAGTGGGACACTGGATGAGAGATCGGGAAACGGGATGGATCTTTCAGTTCAAAGAGAGTGTGTGCAGAATGGAGGGAGTTGGCTAGTTCGGTGACAGGATGGATGGCAGTGTCATGACGTCAAAGCAGGAGAATTTTGGGGGCATCTGGGTGGCTCAGTCAGTTAGGTGTCTGACTTCAGCCCAGGTCATGATCTCATGTTCGTGAGTTCGAGTCCCCGAGTGGGGCTTGTGTTGACAGTTCAGGGCTTTTAGCCTGCTTCAGTTTCTGTGTCTCTCCCTCTCTCTACTGCTCCCCTGCTCACGTTCTCTGTCTCTCAAAAATAAATAAATGTTAAAAAAAAATTTTTTTTAAAGGAGAATTTTAAAGAGGGTTGGAGTAATCAGTGGAGACATATGCCTCCAAAATATTGTACAAGATGCAAAATGAAAGAAATGCTTACAAAACAGGTGATCAATGAACATCTTTGACCTCAATAATCCAAAGAAAAGAAACTTTGTATATCAAAAAGGTCATGACCCCACTAACATCAGTTAGAAAGTTACTCAGTCCAAGATACATTAAGTGAAAACACTAGATTCCAAGACAGTATAGAGAAAATCAGACAGAGCATACACCGAACTATTAAAATGGTGTTCCCTGGAGACTTCCACATCCTGCCTCACATATTCTGAAGCATTTGCATCTCTTTTTACATAAGAATTTAATAATTTTAAGCATAAAAAGAGACTAAAAAAGAACAGGATATAAATCAGCATGGGCAGTATCTCATCTTCATAGGATAACATACCTCTAAGTGGGTATATGGATAAAAAAGAGATCTTAAATGATGCCAAATGCTGCAAAGTGTTTGATCCAGAAATTTCTCACCTCCTTTTTTCTGTATATTTTATCCTTTTCTCTCTTATTTTATTCTCTTAAATAGACAAATATGATCTTCTCTAAAAACAAGGTCATTGACATTAAAGTGTAAAAACAAAGGCCTATTTTCTGGGTACTTTTCTTCTCCATTCAGGCCAACAGCACCAAATGGACAAACAAGTACTCAACTGAAGTTCATCCTTGGGGCACCTGGGTGGCTCAGTCGATTAAGTGTCTAGCTCTTGATTTTGGCGCAGGTCATAATTTCATGATTGTCTCTCTCAAAAATAATATATATATATAACATAAACTAAAGTATATAGTTATAAATATATATATATAACATAAACTAAAGTATATAGTTATATATATATAACATAAACTGAAGTTCATTCCTGATGTTCTTAATACTTTACTTCTGTTAAAGCTCTTAATTTATTCCAAAAGGACCCAAGCAAGGCAAA